TGCAATGCGAATGGAACTAGAAACCCATTCCGACTGGAACTACTTTACTAAAGCAGAAATAATTAATAACATAATACTAACACCAGAACTACAAGTACAACTCAACAGTATATTTTATTCAATAGAAAACTATGACATGCTGATGCGATTAAAGCATGATAAAGAAAAAGAACTAGACTCTGAAGACGAATCTTAATTTGAAGAACTCAACTTACCAAAATTCACATACAGAGAAGCAGAAACCTTAATACACAGACAATATGAAACAATAACCCCTCAAGATATTTACCAATTAAAAAATTACAAAAAAGGACTCGAAGAAGAAATCTCCAAACTAAAAAATATCAAACACAGAATAGAGCAAAAAATCAGAAATTATTCAAAAAGAAGATATACTATAATATTCGATAAACTGCAACAACCTTCAATAGCCGCAGCATTTTGATCGATACCAATATTAACACAATTATTTAATATGCCTCTAGCGTACGACAGAATAAAGTTTCAAACATTCAGATTTAGAATCGTACAAGACAAAAATCCTGCAAACCAAATATTCGGCGTAATCAAAATACGATCACTAACAAATTCGAAATACATTTGTCAAGCAACAATAGAAGATTTAGTCACGATGTACCCAAATTATGTGCTAATGTAACTAATTTGAAAATCAATCTTACCAAATCTGATAAAAACCTGGTAATACAAATCCGACCACATCAAACTATGTTTGAGCCCAACCGGTTAATTATGTCAGTCATCTACTATCGTCAAATGAGGTGCGTCATAGGATCGTCAACCGGTTAATTATAATATCGCTGATTTTAAGTCTTCGTGGATCTTTTAATTTTCTTCAATTTAATTTAAAAGAACCATGAAGACTACCGATCTTTTATTTCGCTAACGATTAGCAGTATGAGTTTTCTATTAGTTTTGTGGCCCTTTTAGTTTTCAACTGATTACGAAAAACCAAGAAACTGTGCCCCAAGTTAAAAATAGATTAGTATTTGTCCTTTTAACTTTCTTTATTGTAATATTGAACTTATTATAAGAACCTGAATGCGCTGAACTTCTGTGCCCAAGTTTTTTTTTTTTTAAAAAAACAAAAGTTTATAACGAGCTATTAGTGTTTTGTGGTTCTTTAGTTTACTTATTACGATCTTTCTTGAACTTATTACAGAACATGAAGGCGTCGAGATTCAGAGCTCCAAGAATTTTTATTTTTTTTTTAAAAAAAAAAATGGTTAGTAATTTGTTACTAGTTTCATGGTTCTTTTAGTCTTCTCATTACGTTCTTACTTGAATTTATTATAGAAACCTGAATTCGCCGAGATTCTGAGCCCTTTTTTTAAAAAATAGTAATTTGTTACTAGTTTCGTGTTCTTTTAGTTTTCTCATTACTATCTTATTTGAACTTATTATAGGAACATGAAGGCGCCAAGATTCTGAGCTCCAAGAATTTAAAAAAAGAAGGGTTAGTAATTTGTTCTATTTTCGTTGTTCTTTTGGTTTTCTCATTACGACCTTATTTGGACTTATTACAGGAACCTGAATTCACCAAGATTCTGTGCCCGAGATTTTTTTTTTTTTTTTAAAAAAAAAAAGTTAGTATTCTGAGCCCCAAGAATTTTTTTTTTTTAAAAAAAAAAAGTTAGTAATTTGTTCTAGTTTCGCAGTTCTTTTAGTTTCTCATTACGATCTTACTTGAACTTATTACAGGAACCAAGATTCTGAGCCAAAGAATTTTTTTTTTTTAAAAAAAAAGGTTAGTAATTTGTTACTAGTTTCGTGGTTCTATTAGTTTTCTTATTACGATCTTACTGAACTTATTACAGGAACTTGAATTCGCCGAGATTTTGAGCCCCAAGAATTTTTTTTAAAAAAAAGGTTAGTAATTTGTTACTAGTTTCGGGGCTCTTTTAATTTTCTCATTGCGATCTTATTCGAACTTATTACAGGAACCTGAATGCGCCGAGATTCTGAGCTTCAAGAATTTTTTTTTTTTTTTTAAAAAAAAAAGGGTTAGCAAGTTGTTCTAATTTTGTGGTTCTTTTAGTTTTCTCATTACGATCTTACTTTAACTTATTACAGGAACTTGAATTCGCCGAGATTCTGAGCCCCAAGAATTTTTTTTTTTTTAAAAAAAGGGCAGTAATTTGTACTAGTTTCTGGGCTCTTTTGGTTTTCTCATTACGATTTTACTTGAACTTATTAAAGGAACCTTGAATGCACCGAGATTCTAAGCCCCAAGAATTTTTTTTTAAAAAGAGGTTAGTAATTTGTTCTAGTTTTGCGGTTCTTTTAGTTTCTCATTATGATCTTATTCGAACTTATTACAGGAACCTGAATGCGCCGAGATTCTGAGCTCCAAGAATTTTTTTTTTTTTTTAAAAAAAAAGGGTTAGCAAGTTGTTCTAGTTTCGTGGTTCTTTTAGTTTTCTCATTACAATCTTACTTTAACTTATTACAGGAACTTGAATTTGCCGAGATTCTGAGCCCCAAGAATTTTTTTTTTAAAAAAAAAAAGGGTAATAATTTGTACTAGTTTCGGGGCTCTTTTGGTTTTCTTATTACGATTTTACTTGAACTTATTAAAGGAACCTTGAATGCACCGAGATTCTAAGCCCCAAGAATTTTTTTTTAAAAAGAGGTTAGTAATTTGTTACTAGTTTTGTGGTTCTTTTAGTTATCTCATTACGATCTTATTTGAACTTATTACAGGAACCTGTATGCACCAAATTCTGAGCCTAAAAATTTTTTTTTAAAAAAAAAAGTTAGTAATTTGTTATTAGGTTCGTGGTTCTTTTAGTTTTCTTATTACGATCTTACTTGAGCTTATTACAGGAACCTGAATGCGCCGAGGAATTTTTTTTTTTTTTAAAAAAAAAGGTTAGTAATTTGTTGCTAGTTTCATGGTTCTTTTGGTTGTTTCATTACAATCTTATTTGAACTTATTACAGAAACCTGAATGCGCCGAGATTCTGAGCCTCAAGGAATTTTTTTTTTTTAAAAAAAAAAAAGGTTAGTAATTTGTTACTAGTTTCGTGGTTCTTTTGTTTATTTCATTACGATCTTATTTGAACTTATTACAGGAACCTGAATGCGCCACTGTTTTAAGTCAATAAAAAAAAAATAATAGTTTTCCATTAGAGTTTCCTGGTTTTTTAATCTTTTTTTAATTGCTTGAGCTTACTACAGTCACATGAATGCGCTAAAATTGGTTATGCATCGAGGTTCTAATCAAAAAAAGGTTAATCTATTAGTTTCATGGTTCTTTTAGTTTTCATTATTGTTTTCCTCTGGACTTATTATAGAAAGCCAAAATGCGCTGTGATTCTAGCCCTCCATTTGATATTATTGTAGTTTATGGATCTTTTAATTTTCATTAGAGCCAAAATTTACTGATTTATGTATCCCAGAATTTTATTTTAATAAAAAAAAGCATTAATATTTATATACAATATGTTTGAAAAATTTACATTCAAAAGTTTACATTTAAATTTTTTTAAAAAAATTTAAAATCTTAAAAAAAAAAAAAAAAAAAAAAAAAAAAAAAAAACCTAATTTTTTTTTTAAAAAAAAAAGGAAAAAAAATTTCAAAAAATTTTTTTTTAAAAAAAAGAAAAAAAATTCAAATTTTTTTTTAAAAAAAATTATGATTTTATAACTTTGATCCATTTAATTAGAACAGGTGTTTCCTTTCCGTCAATCTCAACAATCGCCATGTGATTATTCGAAACTAGCCTTATGAAGATACCTTGTTGCGAAAACGTTGGCTGTAATTTTTTTCTTCGGGTTTGTGGGTTGGTGTCATGGTCTGGTGCGATATTAACCATAGTTCCGGCCTCAATTATATTATTTGCCGTTTTTTTTCTATGAATGCTTCCTTGTTGACACATTTTTGTGTAATATTTTCCTAGCGTAGTATTTACTAACTAAAAAAAAAAAAAAAAAAAAAAAAAAAAAAAATTAAAATTTTAAATTCAGCGTTAAACTGCTTATTCTAAATCTAACCTCATGAATTTTTGATACTCGTAAAACATGTTCCGTAACGTTATCAGGATTAAATGTTTCTGAAGCATCTCCGTTTAGTTCTTCACTCATTTCATCATCCTGATTATTATCTGGTGTTTCATAATTCATTTCAGTATTTTGATCATTATCGTGTGCTTCGTAAACACTTATTTCATTATCCTGATCATTATCTGGTGTTTCGTAAACACTCATTTCATTAACCTGATTATTATCCTGATTATTATCTGGTGTTTCATAGACACAATGCATTTTCCAACCAAACATAACTTCATGAGGTGTACGATTATGAGCAGTATGTATAGTTGAATTATAAGACATAACGAAAGCATCTAATACATTAATCCAATTTTTTTTTTGGAGCTGATTATCACGATCCCATAGCAATTTTGTAAAACCTCGACCAACTGTTTGGTTAAGTCGTTCTACCTGTCCTTGGGACTGGGGATGGCAAGAGCGATCATGTTTAATTTTAATATTAAGAATTTCACAAACTTGCTTAATGATCCCTTCAAACTCTTTTCCGTTATCACTTTGTAAGACTAATGGTGGGCCAAGAATTCTAAAGACGTCCTTAACTAAATGTATAGCAACTGTACCTGCTTCTTTGTTTTTCATAAGAATTGCAACGAGGTATTTTGTAAATGTACAAACACATGTGAGCAACCATGCAAATCTGTGATTCACATTTTTAAAATCATGAAAATCAATTAAGGGTGTTCTCAAGCATCTCAATCAATTGATTCAATAATTATCGTGATGACACTCAAGCATTACAATCAAAGATGGTATTAATAGAATCAAATGCTTGAGCACACTCTAAAAATAAAATAGCAATTTTTTTGAATCGGTCATAAATTTGTTGAGAATTCATTGTTTATTAAAAAAAATGTAAAGTAGTGCTTGAGCGACCTTTATCAATGGTAAATTTTTGGAGAAAAAAGGTGGTTTGTATCTCGCTGATTTTCTCATCGAAGTGGTAACTTCCTCGTTTCATTTATTCAATTTCCGACTAATTAAATTTTGCCTCCGATACATTGATTGAGGTGCTTGAGAACACCCTAAATCAATTTGAATGTGCTGCCATAGTGCTACAGAGATAACTGATTTCATATCGGTTCATTCTTTAATGGAAGAATTAATAGCACAAACTGAACATTCGTTAACATAAGCCTGAACCTCAGTTTGTGTAACACCGATATGTTCAGAAAGAGCAGAAAAAGTTTTATGATAATTTCGATGGTTTGACTGGTCATGAAAGTTTTTTAATAATAAAACACGTAACTCTACATCATATTTAGGAATTATGCGCCGTCTATCCGATACCATTTCACCATTTTTAAAAACGGCAGAAAGGTAAAGAATCTCATTTTCATCTAGTTCAAATTTTTTACAACGACCTTCAAATTTACATTTTGCTACAGGATCATAAATGGTTCCAGGTATTTTTTTTGATTTGAGATAATCAACTATATCCTTGTATTCGGTTGGTGTTCTGAGAAGTTTTGGAATTGCCGGCATAGTTAGAGTTAGGAAAAAATACTGGTAACACCATTTATATGTACGTACTATGATCAGCACATGCAAGAAAATACAACAGTAAAACACGTGATGTGTTAAGGTTAGAAAACACGTGACGCGTATCAGTGTTAAAAATACATGACGCTTGTCAGCGTTAGCAAACACGTATTAGGGTTAGAGTTAACACGTATTAGGATTAGCAATTTACACGTTCGCGTGATGCTCTACCCTATGGCACATTTTCTCGGCACATTCAAATTTTTAACAACTAAAACTAACCATTTTTTTTTTCAGGATTCAAGACATTCAGGTTTTTATAATGAATTCAAGTAAGAACACGAAGAAAACATCACGAAACTAATAAAAAAAATCCCCAGCTTTTTTCTTCGAAAAAAAAAGCTTAGCATAAAACTACTCCACATTCAGTTACCTGTAGTAGGTCCAAGTGAGAACATGATAAAAAAACCAAAGGAACTGCGCAGCTAATAGCAAAATACCTTTTTTTTTAAATAACTTGGGGCGCAGAATTTTCGCATACTCAGATTTCTGCATTAAATTCAAGTAGTAATTAAATTCGTAATAAGAAAACTAAAAGAACCACGAGACTAATAAATTACTGACCTCTTTTTTAAAAAAAAAATTCTTGGGGCTCAGAATCACGGCGCATTCAGGTTCCTGTAATAATAAGTTCAGGTAAGATCGTAATGAGAAAACTAAAAGAACCACGAAACTAATAAATTACTAACCTCTTTTTTTAAAAAAAAAATTCATGAGGTCCAGAATCTCAGCGCATTCAGGTTCCTGTAATAAGTTCAAGTAAGATCATAATGAGAAAACTAAAAGAACTACGAAACTAGTAACAAATTACTAACCTTTTTTTAAAAAAAAAAATTTCTTGGGGCTCAGAATTTTCGCGCATTCAGGTTCATGTAGTACTGTAGTAAGATTGTAATAAGAAAACTAAAAGAGCCACGAAACTAGTAACAAATTACTAACCCTTTTTTTTAAAAAAAAAAAATTCTTGGGCTCAGAATCTCAACGCATTCAGGATCCTGTAATAAGTTCAAGTAAGATCGTAATGAGAAAATTAAAAGAACCACGAAACTAGTAACAAATTATTAACCTTTTTTATTTTTAAAAAAAGTTCTTGGCTCAGAATCTCGGCGCATTCAGGTTCCTGTAATGAGTTCAAGTCGTAATGAAAAAACTAAAAGAATCACGAAATTAGAACAAATTACTAACTCTTGTTTTTTTTATAAAAAAAAAAATCTTGGGGCTCAGAATCTCGGCGCACGAAACCGAAACTAGATCAAATTACTAACCTTTTTTTTTAAAAAAAAAATTCTTGGCTCAGAATCTCGGTGTATTCAGGATCCTGTAATAAGTTCAAGTAAGATGTTAATGAGAAAACTAAAAAGAACCACGAAACTAGTAACAAATTATTAACCTTTTTTATTTTTTTAAAAAAAATTTTTTTTGGGGGGGGGGGCTCAGAATCTCAGCGCATTCAGAATCTCGATAAATTCAGGTTTCTGTAATAAGTTCAAGTAAGATTGTAATGAGAAAACTAAAAGAACCACGAAACTAGTAACAGATTACTAACCTTTTGTTTTTTTTAAAAAAAAAAAAAAATCTTTGGGCTCAGAATTCAGCGCATCAGGTTCAGGTAATAAGTTCAAGATCATAATGAGAAAACTAAAAAAACCACGAAACAAGTAACAAATTACTAAATTTTTTTTTTTAAAAAAAAATTCTTTGGGCTCAGAATCTTGGCACATACAGGTTCCTGTAATAAGTTCAAGTAAAATCGTAATGATAAAACTAAAAGAACGAAACTTGTAACAAATTACTAACCTTTTTTTTTAAAAAAAAAAAATTCTTGGGCTCAGAATCTCGGCGAATCTTGGCGTCTGTAATAAGTTCAAGTAAGATCGTAATGAGAAAACCAAAAGAATCATGAGACTAGTAACAACCCTTTTTTTTAAAAAAGGGAATTATTGGAGCTTAGAATCTCAGCGCATTCAGGTTTCTATATTAAGATTGTACCAAAACTAGTAACAAATTACTACCTTTTTTTTTTTTTTTTTTACGCATTCAGCTCCTGTAATAAGTTCAAGTAGAATTACAATAAAGAAAAACTAAAAGAATCACGAAACTAATAGCGAATTACTAACCAGAATCTCGACGTATTCAGGTTCTTGTAATAAGGGCATAATGAGAAAATTAAAAGAACTACGAAACTAGTAACAAATTACTAACCTCTTTTTTTTTTTAAAAAAAAAAAATTCTTGGCTCAGAATTTCAACGCATTCAGGTTCTTGTAATAAGCTCAAGTAAGTCGTAATGAGAAAACTAAAAGAACCACAAAATTAGTAACAAATTACTAACCTTCTTTTTTTTTGAAAAAAACCCGGCACAGAATCTCTGCGTATTCAGGTTCCTGTAATAAGTCCAAGCAAGATCACAAAGAAAACCAAAAGAACCGCGGATCTAATAACAAGTTACTAACCTTTTTTAAAAAAGTAATTCAGAGCACAGAATCTTAGCATATTCAGGTTCCTGTAATAAGTTCAGGTAATATCACAATAAAGAAGACTGAATTACGAAACCAATACCAAATACTAACCCTTTTTTTTTTTGAAAAAATTCAGTCACAGAATCTCTGTGTTCAGGTTCCTGTAATAAGTTTAAGTAAAGAAAACTAAAAGAACCATGAAACTAATAGTAAATTACTACTTTCTTTAAAACTAATAGTACCAGAATCACGGTGTATCAGGTTCCCTGTAATAAATTCAAGTCAGTACACAAATATAGAAAAGTATAGAGCAGCGAAAATTATTGCATGACTACTAGCCTTGTCCTTTTTTTCCTTAAAACTTGTATCGCATACTTGGATCTTTGTTATCATACGAGAATTAATAGCTAACTACCAACGTAACAGTTAATAAACTATTAAGCTTCTTACCCTCAAAACTGTGTGACACTTTCAAATATCGATCATTGAAAAAAAAGACAAGCCTAGTAATCTTTTTAATCATGAATATTCGTAAAACTAAAAGACCCACATAGCACCTAATCTTTTTAGAAGCGGGTGCCGTAAGGACAATCTTTAGAAAAGAGGTAAATCTCTTTAAATCCGGTCAAATTGACCAGATTTAAAAAGATTTTCTTATTTTTTTTTATTGAACAGCCTGTTTATTGATTATCATGCCGCGCCTCAGTTGACGATCCTATGACGCACCTCATTTGACGATAGTAGATGCCTGACGTAATCAAATTTGACAATCGCAGATGATCATCATTTATCACGTGATTTCCAGCATCAGCCGTTTCCAGCATCAGCCGCGACAATTAATATAACTTGAATAAAAGCATGGCAAGAGATCACCTTAAAAAAAAAATAAAAATAAAAGAACAGGGTGAAACCTGAGTTGCGAAATAGTGAAATCCGCTTTGTAGATCGGGTTAGGGTTAGAGGTAGGAACCGGTTTAATGATTCAATTCTAGAATATCTCAAAATTGATGTTTATCACATCAATTTATCCAATAAAATTTTGATAAATTGTGATAGTTAGGGTGAAATCCGCGTTTTATTATGTTTTTTATTATATAAAAGCGGATTTCACCCTTGTGTGATGATCGTAGCGGATTTCACTATTTCGCAACTCAGGTTTCACCCTGTCGTAAAATAAAAATAAAAAAATTAAAAATAAATGAAAACCAAGAAAACTATATTATATAGTTAGGATTAGAATTAAAACAATATAGTGCTTATTAGTAATACACCACGAGGAGCATTTTTAACTAGGCCGCAGAAGGTGGTTTCCTAATTAAAATTTAGATTTATTTTTATTTTTTGTAAAAAAGTAGTTCGTTTCGATTTTTATACACCTGATCCTGAAATTCGATTGGCACAATTACAGAGGTGAAAATTTTTATAAGGCTAGGGGCGTCATGTTCTATCTCAGTTAGTACATCAATTGCCGCACATTATCAATAAAAAATCATTTAATAAAGTTTAATATCTGACAATATTAGCCGTGCGATGCCTTATTAATTTTTGAAGTAAACACAGTATCCTAATCATTATTCCTAAAGTGAAAATTTGTGTAAATAACTATGATTAAAAATATTTTAATAATACTTTAGTAATAATAAAGACTTAAAAGTTACTAATATTCAACTCATTCATTTACTAATGATAAAGTAGTTTTTAAAAAGTCATTAATGATGTCAACAAATTCAAGTGACGTTATATATACACTAAAATTTTTTTAATAAAGTTAGAATAATTGTCAAAAAAATAAAAAATAAAAATAAAAAATAATATAATATAAATTTAAATTTCTATTTACCTATGTTCAGCATTAGGAATTCTATAAAACTGTGTATTAGGAATTTCGCGATCAAGGATTTCACCATCTTGAATAGGAGTCACTTCATCAGCTTCACCATGAATTATCAAAGTTGGAACTTTAATTGTATGTAATCTTGAAACAAGATTACACTGTTTAGCCCCTTCCCATTGACGCTCTACAAATATAATAAAATTATATAAAGCTTTAATATTACTGCAGTTAATTTATAATATATATATATATTTGTATATATACATACTAATAATTTCAAATGGCCTTTTAGAGTTTGTGTTAACCATAATTTTCACAATTTTATCAAGTTTATCAGGATGTTCAAGTAGATATCTAACCGTATATTTTTCGTAAGAGTTAAGAAGCAAGTCTTTTTGTTTTTGAATATCTTTAGGAAAACTCAATTCTGGTAATTTATAAAGTTGTTCTGCATCCTGATACCATCTTGAGTCTGGTCTAACTCGAGCAGACTTCAACAAAAAACTAATTTAAGCATGGATTATAACTGCAAATTAGTCAAATAATATATTGTATATACCTAAATCCAATAATTAATTTCTCTAATTTCAAATTTGATGGAAGATTCAAGGCAACACAAAAAGCAATCATGCCTGTAAATTTTTTTTACATGTAAAAAATAAAAATCATTGAAAAAATATCAAATATTTAAAAATTGAACATTACCGCCCATAGATCCTCCAAATAAATTAAATCTTTTAATTTCAAGGTGTTTAACTAATTCAATTGTATCTTGAGCCATTAACTCGATCGTAATAGGGTCATAATAGGAAGCAACAGTTGATTCTCCAATTCCACGATTATCGAATACAATTACTAATAAAAAGATCTTATACTAATTTAATTTTCATACCCTCATGATAATTAATAGATTAAAGTGCCTAATGTCGTTGCTGATGCTTAGATTGGTTGATACTGAGATTGAGATCTTAATTTACCTATATATACTCTAGCCATAAGATCATTTCTCAATATCAGCCGATCTTAGTTTCAGCTGTGACAATTTTAATGGAATATATTATCAATTGGTACATTTCTATAATAGACGAACCTGGTTGGTTTTTTGCCAATTCTAATGATTAAAAATGATTCAAATTGATTACATATGTAATAATCTATATCTAAATAACAATTGTAATAATAATAGTAAATGCTTAACCTTCTTCAAAGCCAAAAAAATGCTCTTTAATACAACCACTTAAGTTTACAGATTATGATTAAATTATTACGGAATAAAAGAAATTTAAATTACAAAATATTATTAAAAACGGCAATATTTACAATCCTATGATTAATACAAGAGGAATCTTATTTTTAATATTTTCAGACTTGAGAATCTTGTATGCAATTTTTGATCCATCTTGTTGTTCAAAAAAGAGACTTTCAGACATAGTGATGATAAGTTTTTTTTTCTTACCAAGGCAAAAATATTTTGAAAAGTGGTTACGTATATACTGCACGAACAATACATGCAGAAATCTACGTATTTATTTTATGCCATATAACCAAGAAAATACGGAGCCTAAATTTCCTAAATTAGGAAACTTAAGTCCAATTAAGGTTAGTTAGTATTACTATATAGATATCAAGAATACAATTTATATATGAATCTGCCGGATTTACTTATTTGTGTGCGTAAACACACAAATTTAAATTTAGGACGTTAACATAAGATTCTATAGTCATAGATTGTTCCAATTACATGTAAAATTTCATCGCCAACATTTTTAATTAGTGCACCAAGTTGATTTAAACACTAGTTTTGAGTATTTTCGCTTTTTCTTCTTTCGTACGTGTTCGGAATTCATACCGGGCTGATCCGGAACGATTAAAACTCACTGATTGGCTGTTTCTTTTTTAGGGGAAGAACCACCATAGACAGTCATTCGTCTGATTGGTTAATTTTTGTCGATCTATCCGTGATTGCCCGTGATAATTAACCAATCAAATTACATAATTTTTAAGACGGTTATCATTTTAATACTACTAGAAAACGAAAGAAAACTTCGCTTAAAGAAGCTTACAAACCGATAATTATATACAAAGAACTTATTACATAAAGTTAGAAAACAGATAGATACGCGTAAAGTAGGATAAATGTAATATTTATTGTCACGAATTATCGTGAAATTTGGACCTATTTTATGTACGATTTATAAAATTTTTGGGCCTTTTTTGTCGGCTTTTTTTTTTATAGTTAAGTTAGGATTTAGGGTTAGAATTATGAATAAAAGAGTATAGGTGGATTTTGGTAGGGCTTATATTTTCTTATACCCTGGTCACTATATCAAGATCGCAGGGCATAAATCAGTTATACCCAGTGTTGGAAATTTTATGTTCTCATGTTCTCATGAGAACATTGCTTTAAATTTGAAAACATTGTCACAGGCTAAAAGTTCTATGAAATTAGCGCAGTAAAAACGTGACTATAGTGGATTTACCATTGGAATTCTAGATCGACCAGTACATGAGGCTTACTGTCAAATAATAGGAATGATAACTAACGAGAAATCCGAAGAGGAATTCTGAAACAAATAAACGAAGATCAAGAGACGCGTATGAAGAAAGAAAAGAAGATCGAATATCAAGATTTAGATATAGTTGA